AATTTATTATTGATAGTTGACTTTTGACATATTTATGGCTTGTTATACTGTTATTATGGTTCCTGTTAAATCAGAAATAAAAAGTTTCAAAATATTTGGTTCGTTTCTTGTGACACTGATTGCCCAAACACCTGACGTTGGCGACCATGTTTAATTCCATGGTTGTACAAGGGCGTGTACGAAGGTGGTTTCCCGTTGCCTTCCTTCGGGCGATTGAAGAGTTCACCATCTCTCTTACCAGTGGATCTTCTGCTTTCATTTCTGCAACCATTGTCTTTGGCGTCGTAGCTTTTCCGCTGATCGTCCTGCCTCTATACAACGATCACCTGATTGGATGCCCTTCCTAATCAACCGTAGTTCGGTGTGCTTAACAGCTGTGCCACGGCGGCGACTTCCCCTACGACACCTGCGTTTCACTTCTCAAGGTGATATGTTTTCTCGCCGTGAGATCAGGCACACACTTGAAGAATAGAACTCTGTACAAAAATAAGCTTCGAAACCTCTTTCTTTGACTGAATTACCTTTAAAATTCATAATTACACTTAAATACGTATCCCAATAGTATTAAATTACCAAAGACTATGGTTGCTATTTGTATTTTGAAAACTAGTTAGAACTGTCTGAAAGCAACCACTGATCAATATAACAGGCCTAGAAATTCATAAATAATTTTGAAAATACGGCACATCTACCAGTGATAATAAAATAGAATAGAATAAACCATGTGATAATAAAATAACATATCTAGGAGAATAACAGATGTAAGAGAGAGGCCAAGAAATTTCCTAATATTTATTTGTTCTTTGTAAGCATACTCTATACACATACAGTCGAGATCATAATTCACTGATCACTGTTGGCAACACCGGTACACTGCGTTGTAAACAAGAAATAGTTTCAAATCTCTGAGTGACAGAGACGGAGATTCTTGACTGGACGATTCCATGCGATGATAAATTCACGCAAGTTGTTCTTAACTAGGAAGCCCCACTCCGATTTGATTTAAAAAAATCCTAGCTGGTAACTTCCGAGCTAAGCCCCGCCTCTTCACCATTATTCATTCCTTGTAAATATTTACATATTCTTTACATTTCTCTTTTGCTTGGTTTCTTTTTCGATTATTATTTTTTTTTAAATAGTGTTATTACTGAAACATTTTTAAAGGAAATGTAGTGAAGAAACACTTATCTTGTAATATTGCATAGATTGATAAGGTCAGAAAAGGGGTGGAGCTAATGACGTCATTGCGTCAGTGTGATATCAGGTACAGAAAGATACTTATTTTACATAATTTACTCAATCTATTTTTTTTTTTTTTATTTACCAGAAGTAAAACCAAAATCCCCCTTTTATTTGTGATAATGAAAAGTTCCTTACCATTAACAGCCTTCAGAATTTTTCTTGGGGAAAAAGTCCTTATAATTTTTGGGATCGCTGGTTGAATGGTAGTGGAGTTACCTGGTTATATTGTACCTTAGCTTCACATGGCCTACGCTTCTCTGTTAGTCAAATAACGCCGAAATAACAGTGAGCGACACTGTTCAACGAATTATGACAAGGACTGTACTCATGCGGTCAAATCGTTACATACACGCATTTGACGGTCTCAGTTAATGTATATATTTGTAAAGAGAGCAGTTTATCATGAATCATACATGCTTTCAAATGTCAGTCCAGAAGGAACAGGTTATATCGTATACAGTACATTGCATATATCCTATAAAAATACGCAGAAGAGGAAGTTAAATTAGTGAGTTACAGTTACATGTTAAATATCTTCCGATAAATATATACACTGAAAAGAAATGAATTAGAGGAAAAAAACAGAATTTTGGAATATGAAATAACACTAACCTACGTATGAAGATAATAGATTAAAGATTAATCCATTCGCCCCATGTGGCGAGAATACATACCATGCCCACTGTAATACACGTTTATTTATTGTCTTTACACATAGATGGCTCTACAAGTTTTTAATCACCAAATAGCCAGTTATCAGAACTACCTATCTCACCTGTTTACCCTTTTCCTTCACTTTAGGAAAGGGCTTTTATATCGTTTCATTGTCTAAAACATTTTAATGACAATTTAACCCCTTGGTGCCGGGTATGACGTGTACGTACGTGCTATGCCCACCGTGAGTACTTGTTTGATTGTTGTTACGCATAGATGGCAACACTTGTACTAACTCCCTAATGAGCCAGTTACGAGCACCGCCCGTCTCGCCCGTTTACCCGTTTCTTTGATTTACGAAATATTTTACGTAATCTTATTTTGCTGTTACTAATTTTAAAAAAGATTATAAAAATTATAATGTTTATGATAAAAATAAGACCATTGATTTTCATAGCGCTAGTGAAAAATACGTTTTTCCCGCCATTTAAATCAGGCGCTAGCAGAGCCATCTATCGGCAGACATTTCACGAAAAACATAGAAAGTGGGCACAATATTTTCCCCATTTTTTGTTAATTTTCCCCGGCACCATTGGGTTAATAA